CGCCCCCACGGCTGAAAGGGCGAGCATGTTTGGTGGGATGCGGATTCGAACCATATAATAAGGACATACAAAGAAGTTGGATGCCTCAAAGAGTCCTTAAAATTTCAGTCTAGTTGTTTCTATTACGACTCCGAGAGAACTGCGGATATTTAAGAGATAAACAAACGTAGTGTCGTTCAGTCTAGAGTGTGCCAGGTTCTCATCTGGTTCATGTATTTAAACACTACTTTCAGTAAATGAGCACGCTTTTAGAAACATCGCAGAAAGATACCTCTAATGGGTGTGAGCATTTGGTGGAAATCACTTGACATTCGAACTATTTGTTTCTACGTGAATTTTATTTAAAGCAGTTCAACTAAAACAGTAATTAAAGTGTTATTTTGTTGTTTTCCTCAAACAATGAAAACCTCTCTCTCTCTTTTTTAAACCCTAAAATCTTTCCACATGGTCGTTGCCTTCGGGCAATAAAGGTCGATGTCAGGGATTTGGATAAAAAAACAGGAAAAGAAAACTACACTGGCCTATTGATAACAGGAAATAAAGGACTTTGAGCCATTTCAGAAATACTTTAACGTTGTCGTTTTATTTACAAAATTTATAAACCTATTAAGTAAAGCTATTTATAAACCTACTAAGTAAAGCTATTTATAAACCTACTAAGTAAAGCTATTTATAAACCTACTAAGTAAAGCTATTTATAAACCCACTAAGTAAAGCTATTTACAAACCCACTAAGTAAAGCTATTTACAAACCCACCAAGTAAAGCTATTTACAAACCTACTAAGTAAAGCTATTGATATACCTACTAAATAAAGCTATTTATAAACCTACTAAGTAAAGCTATTTACAAACCCACTAAGTAAAGCTATTTACAAACTTATTAAGTAAAGCTATTGATATACCTACTAAATAAAGCTATTTATAAACCTATTATGTAAAGCTATTGTTAATAAACAACCGGCTTTTTCAAATCAAAGACTTTAGCAACAGCCCATACACACGCACTAAACACGATAATTTTTGAAATTCACTAGCTCCAAAGACATTAGCAACAACCCATACACACGCACTAAACACGATATTTTTTTTCAATTCACTAGCTCCAAAGACATTATCAACAACTCATACGCACGCACTAAACACGATATTTTTTCAATTCACTTGCTCCAAAGACATTAACAACAACCCATACGCACGCACTAAACACGATATTTTTTCAATTCACTAGCTCCAAAGACATTAACAACAACCCATACGCACGCACTAAACACGATATTTTTTACAATTCTCTAGCTCCAAAGACATTAGCAACAACCCATACGCACGCACTAAACAAGATGGTTAAATAGACTTGTAGAAATACCCCCACCCGCCCTGGGCAGGTATAACTGCTAGTTCCTGCGGCCTTTATTGGAATTGTCTGACAGTTCTACAACAATGTATTCATACCTGACATTCAATAATGTTCATCATCCATGAGAAAAAGGATGTTATTGAAATTTTAGTTTAAAAATGAGCTATCATCACAGTATTACATCACAGAGTAGATTTCACAGAAGTATCTCTTTGTAGACACAGTTATCAATAAAAATGTCTTGCTTTTCTGTTGCAACACTCACAAGATTTTCACCAAAGAAAAACAAATTTTTTAAGTTTGTTTTTGATTGTTTTATATTTGAAACTTACTCCTTTTTTTGTTTATAATTCTTATTGGTTAAATCTGAAATATATCATTTTTGTGGAAATTTCAATTGTTTTATTTATTGCTCAGCTTTAAAAATACTGCCTAGTTAATAAAATATTACCCAGTTATGATTGGTGATGATCAGTGTGGTAATTTCCGAGATCCGAGTTTTGGACGTATACATCTCAAGCCCGATTAGAATAAGGGGTATCACCATAACAACTGCCATATATCTTTTCTGAAAAACGCTTTTAAAGAAATGTGTTTCCACAAAGGAGTTTTATGGTATAAACACACAAACCCATAACGAAATTTTGTCTATAGCTGCTTCACTTAGCTTAAAGTAGCGCACATTGCCCGTTTAATGTGAAAACTACGAGTCATTGATGTGTAAGTCGTTAAGCTGAAACGGGATTTTACGTCGAGAATAATATATGTGATTTTAAAGATGGAACGCTTTAACATAATTTGTTTGTTTATCTGCTGTTAGCTATAGTCTAGGTTATCTGTGCTGCAACATTATTCATGGATGAATATCGGAAATTCAAAAGTAAAAGTATTAATGTACCAAGGAAAGCACTAAAAAAACTGATTCATTGCTTGTACCGTTAATAATCTGCTCGTTTGTTTGCTTTAAAGCAAAGCTTCATTGCATTAGTTGTTGTGTCCACCGCGAGGAATCTAACCCTTGATTTTAGCGTTGTCCCACAGGGGACATCGTTTATAGTAGACAAGAGCTTTAAAGTATTTTTTTTTTCCTTGTAAATCTCATAAAGTCAACTTTAAGAAGTTTAATTATTTCATTTGTTTGTTTATTTATTCTGGGTCACTCACGGGTATTGAAACTCAGTTTTTAGCGTTATAAGCCTTCAAACTTACCACTGTGCCATTTGGGAGCTAAATAATTATTTCAGAAAATATAATTCGTTTTGTCAGTTCACTTATCGTTTCGTTGGAATTGTCTTCAGAGGTACTTCTAGAGATGTACTTGCTACATTAGGTGCTATCTTTCTGTACTTGCTACATTAGGAGCTATCTTTCTGTGCTTGCTACATTATGAGCTATCTTTCTGTGCTTGCTACATTAGGAGCTATCTTTCTGTGCTTGCTACATTAGGAGCTATCTTTGTGTACTTGCTACATTAGGAGCTATCTTTGTGTACTTGCTACATTAGGAGCTATCATTCTGTACATGCTACATTAGGAGCTATCATTCTGTACATGCTACATTAGGTGTTATCTTTCTGTACTTGCTACATTAGGTGTTATCTTTCTGTACTTGCTACATTAGGTGCTATCTTTCTGTACTTGCTACATTAGGTGCTATCTTTGTGTACTTGCTACATTAGGTGCTATCTTTGTGTACTTGCTACATTAGGAGCTATCTTTCTGTACTTGCTACATTAGGTGCTATCATTCTGTACTTGCTACATTAGGTGCTATCTTTCTGTACTTCCTACATTAGGAGCTATCTTTCTGTACTTGCTACATTAGGAGCTAGTACGTTCTAGTAACTGTCCGCCAATCGGAGAAATTACCAATGCTGTTCAATCGGAATTAATTCTAAAAAAATATTTATTTGTAACAATGCTTTCCTGACATCAATATAAAGTTAAGAGCTTCTCAGCATGGATCCCATTAAGAATGTTAAAATTCGTTAAAATCCCATACTATGTGAAAAAAATTAATACAGCCCTCAAAATAGGAATACTCTCAAAACTCTAAAATGTTAAGAGCACGCGAAGAGACAAGAATAAGCTAGCCTCGGTACGGTTGTCTTACAAATAGCGGCTAGAAGTAAACAGGCTACATATGTATACTTAAGTTCTCTAGCTGATTAAAAAAATATTATTTTTTTACAATTTTCAAACGATCAACGTTTTTAATTTACACAATTAAAATCTTTATTCGTTAAACGATCTCAGAATAAAGATTTTAATTGCGTAAGTTAAAAATGTTGATCGTCTGAAAATTGATAACAAATTTTGATTTTTTAATTATTTTTACACAAGTTCCTTGAATTTTCACCATTTTCTAGCTGACGTCTAGGATTCTGTTACATATGTATTGAGATTTGAAGCTTATAATTTGACCTTCTACAAGGTATGTAACATACATGTTTTCACTACCAGTTACAAAGTTTTGGAACGTTTAATCAGTTGATTTCGGTTTATTATGAGAGTTCGAATCCCCGTCACACCAAACATGCTCGCCCTTTCAGCTGTGGGAGCGTTATAATGTTAGGGTCAATTCCACTATTAGTTGGTAAAATAATAGCCCAAGAGCTGGCGGTGGTTAGTGATGACTAGCTGCTTTCCCTCTAGTCTTACACTGCAAAATTAGGGACGGCTAGCGCAGATAGCCCTCGTGTAGCTTTGCACGAAATTCAAAAACAAACAAACAAATTATTACGAGAGCTTGAAAAATTCTTTCCTTCGTCTTAATATAGCGTGTATACGTGTAATGAAAATACTTATAACGTCATATGAGATACTAGGACAAATAATATTACTCATTTATGCCAGCTGCCAATTTCGTTTCAGACTAAGCACGACACGTCTCTACAGAATGCTAGTGTAATCTTTCATCCTCCTTTGATATTTCTTCGGACTAATCTCACGCCAGATGGTTGGACGACGACAATGCCGGCTGACCGGTCCAGATTCCAGCCATGATGCAGGAATTAGGATTTTCTTTTCTTTTTTATTCCCCAGTGTGTTCAAAAGAGTTTCGTTTTACTTATTTTTATCCTCAGAGAACTGATAGTTGGCCGGGATAATTAGAGACAAAATTTATCTCTCTCTATTATTTTCTGTCAGATTTCCCTTTCCCACTGTTGTAGTGTTACCGTTCTGTTGAATCCCAATGTTGTAGTGTTAGCGTTCTGTTGAATTCCATTGTTGAAGTGTTAGTGTTCTGTTGAATCCCACTGTTGTGGTGTTAGCGTTCTGTTGAATCCCAGTGTTGCGGTTTTACCGTTCTGTTGAATCCCAGTGTTGCGGTTTTACCGTTCTGTTGAATCCCAGTGTTGTGGTGTTACCGTTCTGTTAAATCCCACTGTTGTGGTGTTACCGTTCTGTTAAATCCCACTGTTGTGGTGTTAACGTTCTGTTGAATCCCACTGTTGTGGTGTTAACGTTCTGTTGAATCCCAATGTTGCAATGTTAACGTTCTGTTGAATCCCAGTGTTGCAATGTTAACGTTCTGTTGAATCCCACTGTTGTAGTGTTAACGTTCTGTTGAATCCCACTGTTGTAGTGTTACTGTTCTGTTGAATCTCAATGTTGCGATGTTAAAGTTCTGTTGAATCCAAATGTTGTAGTGTTACCGTTCTGTTGAATCCCACTGTTGCGGTGTTACCATTCTGTTGAATCCCACTGTTGCGATTTTTAGGTTCTGTTGAATTCCAATGTTGCGACGTTATCGTCCTGTTGAATCCCAGTGTTGCGATTTCAACGTTATGTTGAATCCCAGTGTTACGATTTTAACATTATGCTGAATCCAGCTTCAAACCTGCACTGTTAACATTTGTGTACACACACACACACACACATATATATATATATATATATGAGGTAATAAAGCGACATTTATCACATTCAATAATGCAGCTGAAATGTATAATATGCGAAATGTAAAACTTTTATTACATAAACAAATCTTCCATCAGAATATTAAACAAGTGATACAAGTTCGCACATTCATTTACCCATAATGTAGAACAAGAAATCCCTAGACAGAATAATCAAAAATGGAAATTAAGGTCGTTAAAAGGATTACAAAGTAAACGTTTTCACACATTATCGAATTAACACTACTTAATTTTATAGATCTTGTGATTTTCTAAATGAAACCAAAACCGATCCATTCATTGTTAATTTCCATTGTAATAACGCAATTATTAAGTTCATTACAAAAGACATTAATAAATGTATTTAGAGAATTAGTTACAGAATCGCTTTACCCCACGCGCTCTTATTAATAACTGGACTTATACAGTTTTAGCTTCATTAATTATTTCAGGAACAGAACTGATAGCTTTGTTTGTTTGTTTGTTTTTG